GATAGTAGTTGCTTTTTTTGCGTGTCGATTTGAAAAAAATAAATCAGTAATGCTAGAAAAAATGTTAATTACGCAATTTATGTATTTGCAGGTTATGAGTTGTACTCGATAATCGAATAAGAAAAACTTCCGCTGTTTTCGCTTTTTTTTTTCGAGGTTTTTTTGTTTTGCTTTATTTCTAAAATTTTTGTGTGTTAAAAATTGAAAAAAAAAACCAACTGAAGCAATTGATCTTTTGGCGTGTACTCTAAAATAACAGCCAACAACTGTAGTCCACAGGGGGTAGAAGAGTGGAAGAAAAAACTGCACAAAAGACGAGAACAAAACAAAACGAAAAAAAAAAAAAAAAAAGAAATTAAGCAGCAAATAGTGTTAGCTAGCCAAAGGGCATTATGGATCCTTCACTAACAAGACAGATGTCGCTAGATCCAAACCGTACAAGAGATGGACTAAAGGTAAGCACAAATTTTGAATTAAAAGTTGAATAATAGCAGCATATTTAAAAGAAACCACCATGTTTTTTCTGCTCTTGTATAACTGATATTATTACGTGGTTTTAACTAAATAGACAAGACATAGCCAGGATATAGCTGTTCTGAAAATTCTCCACTTATTTATTTCATAAGACAGCGCCAAAATTACGCAAAACTTCTGATGCAACTTTTATCAGCTTCAAATTTCAGGTACTGGAAAAATTCTGCAAAAGAAAATATCGTAATTCGGCATTTTTAAACGCCGGATATCCATCATTTGAAAACATTGAGGCAGCGTCAACACCAGAACCTGCATTGTCACAGGCGACGCCAAGTTTTACATTTCCCAGTGATACAGCAAAGACACCGGTATTAGAGAAAGCTCAGGTTAGTGGTATAATCATTTATAAGTCATCATTTTGAAATTAATGTTAAAAAAAAAGTTGCAACAAGAAGTCTATGAAGCGATTGTATTAAGTACACACTCATCCTAAGAGCCATTCAAGCTGTTTGTATAGTACCATTAATATTATCAACTACCGTGGTAAAATCAGCTATGTTTGTTTTACTAATCATCACTTTTCCGATATTAAGATTCTGTTCTCAATTTTGAATTAAAGCTAATAATGAAGAAAGAAAGTTGGTGGCTGGATCTGAACTATCGTCAACAATTAAGAAATTTGTATTTTTCACTAACTGAATGCAACTAAAAATAATGAGCATCAAGAATCTGTCATCAATCTGATTGATATGCCAAACGATACCGAACATAATCATTACAGCAATTATTCATCGCAAAAAAAAATTGAAAGTTAGGTATTTGCTGAAAGCAATCCTCTAAATCCTCAATTCTCATTTAAATCGATGTATTTGAAATATCGATCTAGACGTTTATCTGAACAATCTTGCAAAAGATAGCGAATTGTAACACACCGCTAAAAAATCTCATCCTTGATCTTAACGACAATAAGTTTTTATGGAGTTTTTTGGCTATTACATCTGTTTGCAAACATAGTTTTCAGTTGTTTACGCAAGCTGTAGATCTTGTTTCTTTCAAAAATCAACAAGTCAAACAAAAATCTATCTAACACTGACAGTTGTCAGGACTTCGTTCAAACAAAAAAAAAATACAAATTTCTATAAAATTCAACTAAGAGAGTCGCTTTTCATTTGAACTGTTAACGGTAAAACTTTTGTTTCTTTGAAGTCTTAACTTGTGAATAACTAGTTTTGCGGTCAAAATTGAACTTCTTTTTCACTGCATCTAACAGTAATTTAAAAAAAAAAAGCTTTCTTTTTCTTACTTTTTTATCAAAATCTTTGCGCTCAATTTGGATAAGCTGTTATAGCGTCAACCGAGAGGTATATATCTTGAAAAATCAGTCGTTTTTTTTTAAATTTAATTTTAATTTACCAGTGATATTTTGCGTTTTTTTTCCTGACATTTCTAAACATATAAACCGTGTGCAATCATATTTTAACTGAAAGTCAATTTTTGTCTAATATTTTCATCTGAAAGTGACTTCTGTAACAGCATTAAAGTTAGTGACTTAAAAACAAGCCTATCTTTAGCTGTTGTTTAAGGAACTCCCCGCTGCCGAACATGTTCGAGAACCGTCTGGACACAGCAAACAAATTAATTTTGCTGATCTTTCCAGTATCGACCTTTGCCAACCTAAATTTCGTGAGGAAATCAAGTAGGCACTATTCTGTACCTTTTTGTCAAGTGTTGCCTATGCTGATTTTTGTCACATTTCTTAGCAACAACATCTGTCATTGTTGTCACTAAAATCACTGAGGAGAAGCGAAAGAGCAACAAAAAGGTGACGACGATTACAGTGATGGTAGTGACGATAATAAAAAAAAGGTTAAAAACGTGCAAAAATGTAGAAAAACAAAGTTTTTTTCAAAATTTTTTTTGTTTTTAGAACGAATAATAGGAGATCAGCAAATAGAAAACAACATTAACAATAAAATATTCATTTAAATAATTTAAGTCTTGTTAAATTCTGGTAATGCAATTATTAATTCTGCTTTTTGTGCGTTTTTTCTATTTCCGATTCTGCTTCGGATAATCAGTAGAAGCAATAAAGTAATTTGAAGAAGCAACAAATATTTCAGTTTGATACAAAAGCCTAACAAAGCTTTTTTTTTAGGTTTGCAAAGGACATTGAAAGCAAAAAATCATATTTTTTTCGCCTTTTAAAGGTACTGTACAGACGTTTGGGTCTCAAGTATGTGGTTCTGCTGATAATGTTATTGGCATATGGATTAGCCGGTGGACTACTGTTTTATTACTTGGAAGCACCAGCAGAACGAGCGTTGATCGTTAAACTCACAGATGTTTGTCCGACTTTTACTGCTCTCATTAATCATTTCGTTCACTAAATTATTCCTAAACGAAAAGCAAATAAAAAAAAATTTTAGAAACTACAGCAATTTTAGTGTCTCCCCAAAAATCAGTATGTTAATTTATAAATACTTTTTGCTGGGCAACCAACAAATTGCTTCTATTTTTACTTTCAGCTTGACAGCCTCTGTTTTGAAAAAAGTGATGTCTTTAAAACGAAAAAAACTTACACATCAATATATAGCCAAAAACAGAAAAAATTTTACTTATTAAAAACAATCTTATAACAGTCTTCTCTCTCCCTTCCATCACTTTCGCAAAATAGAGTAATTTATGCTTTTCTCAGTGTACCACTTCTTTCCCGACAACAGAAGTTGAGTAGCAAATTAACACTGATGATCACCAAACAAACAAAGAAACAAAGAACAAAAGATCATATGAAACAAAAAAATCATACTTGTTTTTTTTTTTCGCTTTCATCAGTTCCTTTCATTATTTCATTGCTTTTTTACTTTATTTTTCACTTCGTTTGATATATAGTTTCGAAAAATAATGTCTAGTTCGGAAAAACTTAAACTTTTTTCGCACTACTTTAGAAAATATAACAAAAATAAAAGTAGTTATTTCTGCAGAAAGGAAAGTAATCTGCTAGTCTATTTTTAGGAATCTGTACAACGGCATCATAACTTCACCGAACAATTTTTACACTTATTATCCAAAGGTGACTGTTTATCGGAACTGGACAAAATCGATTTTACTTCCTCAAAGAATGATAAAAATCTTAACAATGTACTGCATACAGATACCTATCAGTGACACCTTAAATTTCTTCTTTCCCATATAAATTCTTAGTAGCTGATATCCAACGTAACACTGTCCCAACAACTGTTGACTCAATCACAGATAGATACTATAAATATTAGAAACCAACTTTATTTGCAGAATTTATGTAGTAGCAAGATTGAGAATCTCTTGCAACAGTACGACAAGAGTGCTGGAATAAATCCGGATAAACCGAATCACTGGTCATGGAATGATTATTGGAATGCAGTTTTCTACTGCGCCACGATATTCACCACAATTGGTAGACATTTGCATTGCTCCAATGTTGAAAGATGAATAATCTTATTTGGTTGTCAATGAACTGATTAGTACTAGAAAGAAATCAATCGTCTTAATTTGAAAATCAAGCCGACAGCGATTTCTGTAGCTATGAAGGTCGTTTTAGGATACGGAAATATGTCGTGTAGAACTCGGCGAGGTCGAATCGCCACTATTTGCTATGCTTTAATTGGGGTTCCATATATGCTTGTAGTACTAAATTCAGTTGGTAAACTGATCTTCAGCAGCGTTCAGGAAATTTGGGAGAGGTCAAGAAGGTAAACTGATTGTTGTTTTAAACTTATATCATTTTATTTTTTTTAAAAGCTAGACTCCGTTGGCATCTGAGACGACAACAGGCTTCTGGAACAGTAGTTATTTATTGAAGATTTTCTATCAGTTCAAATTTTCTTTTTCAAGAATGATTAGGCGGAAAACTAAGAAGTTTCGTCAAAGATACGCTATAGTTAGTACAACAACAATGCACAAAAGTGAAGAAACCGTTCTTACGAAAAAGGAAGATGACGATGACGATGCCGATTCAGAGGTATAAAAAATGACAGCTTTTTGAGCGATTAATTTAAGGCACATTAAACGAATAAATTACTGCGAAAAAAGAAAAACTTTGGTTTTATTTTTTTCTTGCTGTTGTTTTAGCACTAAATTTCTTCCTATTTTTTGTCAAAAAAGTTTACAGGACAGTAAACTTTACATCGTGAGTGAGGGGGAAACTGTACAGTAAAAATGGCTTAGCTTTAGCACTGCCCTAAAGAATTTGTCAGGAATATGTTGAAGACTAAATCTTCAGGATAGCGTATCTGCAGAAGATGAACTTTTTGAAACTTTCCCTCTGTATTTGGCTCTTTTAATCATCTTCGCCTACATCGGTCTTTGTTCGTTGATATTTTGTCTTTGGGAAGAGTGGGATTACTTCACTGCCTTTTATTTCTTCTTCATATCGTTAACAACAGTTGGACTTGGCGATGAAATGCCCGATCATCCGCATTATGCGTGTCGTATGTTTTATTAATTTGTGGTTTTACAGTTATTCTTTAAATATCATGCAAACGTCAATTTTCAAAAGAAACTTTTAAGATCCATCTTGAAATACGTAAGCAAAAGAAAAAATCAACTTTGGTACTGCTGTAATGGACAATCTTATAAAAATTTGAGGCACACTGTATGGCTATTTTTATTTCTATGTTTATTTTTATGTTATTTATATCTTTGAATGATTGATGAATATAAGAACCTCACAGATTCTCGTTGCGGTTAATTTTGATCTGTAAAAGTCGGCTACTACTAAATTACCCAGAACCTGCGGCTGTCAGAATAGATCACAGATTCAAAATGGAAACTAATTTTTTCACCTCAAAGCTGCAAGATTTCTACACTTTATTTTAATTGATTTTTTTTATTTTTTGTCAAGAAATATAAATTCATCTTTGTCGCCATTTCAAGTACTCAAGTACTGTCGTTTAGTTCAAAACAAACAAATTTTTCGGTAATTCATTTTTAAGCTGCTTGCTCATCCTTTTGATTTTTTTTTTAATTAATTAATTTAAGCTTTTTTTGCATAAAATTGTAATTTCTTTCAATAGCACTGTTTCGGCAATTTTTCTGAAGCACTGTTGGTCAAATGCTGCATTCTTTAAGAACAGATATTGCTATAAATTTTAGGATGGAAAACTTTCTGAAATGTCATTTGACTGTATAATTTGTTTTTGTCGTCTTTGTTTCACTCTTAAAAAAATAACTGTCTCTGATCACATTTCTAGATAGTTTTCATCTAAACCGTTACAAGATCTTAAAACTTTCAATTAAAACTTGCCTCAAACTTGAAATTCGCGATTATTCCGGTTTAAATGTTAGCGGCAATGGAATTACTGACTAAATTCACTCTTTTCAATGCTCAAAAATTCTGGCTAGTGAGGTCTGATTTTATTTTTTTTTGCGTTCATCTGTCTCATTCGCTCAAAGTACTATAACCATTATGAAATGCACTGTTTCTATCGTAAGGTCGTCAATTGACAGACAGTACCGATGTCATTTTGCAAACGTACTTGATTTGACGTCCTGAGATAGCAAAGATCATACATATTTCTACCTGCCTATTTTTAACTGAATGACAGGTAAAGCTTTAGGTGCACTTGATATAAGTATTGGAAAAACAATAGATATTTTGGATATTAAAGCTTCTGTATAACTTCATACAGGGAGAGACACTTAAAAGGTGCGTCTGTTGGAACACGAGACTTTTTCAGTTTGGCGAAAGCTAAATATCTGTGCTTATTTTATACGGAACATCATCGGTTATTTTCGCAAAATTTAGCAATTTTTAGTGTTCTTCGTCTTCTTCTTAGTCGGTTTGGCATTAGTCTCAATGTGTGTCTCGATTATGCAAATGCGAGTCGAGAACAGGTACATGGCAGCAATACAAATCATAGAAGAGGAGCAACTATCAGCAATGGGTGGAACTCCAGCAATCACCCAAAATGAACAGCTTGATGGTATTGATTTGTTTCACCCAAAAAATTCTCATACTGCGCAAAAGCCACAACAAATTTAGATCTCTTGAACTTCCCTGATAGCCTCCCTTATTCTTTTGCTTCAAAGCTATTAATTAGGGTGTTAACGAATAATTGTCATGTATAATGATGACTACTTTGCAGCCGAGGGACAACCGTCACCAAACCTGCTCGCTCGTACAGCCCTTGGAATAAGGTATGACTTAAAGTTGTTGGCCAAAAGCAACCTTAAGCAGAACTGATACCGCCAATTTGATCTACAAGGAACATTTTAGAATGAGAGCCAGCCCATTTGCTTTCCCTCCCCCAGATGGCCGGTTTTCAACGGGCCAGATCACACCATCAAGTTTCACGTATGACCCGGATTCTACTGAACGGTAAAGAGCTCATGATCAATGTCAAAGGTTTATCGATAAAACTAATACACAATACTTTCATTTGGAAAAAAAACTAAGAAGTTTTCTTGCAGGATCCCTTCAACATCTTCGATTTCTGGGCACCATCCTACTACACCTACTTCAGTGATACCGCCTCCCGTGCTAGGCATATTTATAGCAAGAACAAGAAGTACGATGAAAAAGGCTCGAGGTACATCAGTTAGAAGGAAACAAGAGCTTCGGCCAGAAGCAAATGAGCCAGAAGGTCCAAGGCTACGCTTTTTTCTTTAACCAGTGATCAAACAAGATGTCAGTAGGGGCGAAAATTTGAACAAAACCGTGAAAATTACCTACTTAACATGCTTTAGACCCAGGAAGAGTATCAGCTTCAACAAACCAGTCCGAAGGAACAGCGGAACCAGCAGCAGCAGCTTCACCCTCCCCAGTAGGTGGACTACACAACTTTGCAGCTCCGCTTTCGATTATAACAGGTACCAAAACATTTTAAATTATTTGAAAACATTAACAGCTCTTTTCAATGTGCGCCACTCAAATAAAAATTGTACTGAAATTCTGGTTTACAGAAGCTGCCGATGAGGAAACCAGTGAACAAGCGCAGAAGAGAAGTCTTTCCAAACCGCCACCTTTACCACCAAAAGTAAGTACCGCAATAACTGATTGTAGCAATTAGCAAATTCCACTTAAAAACTTTTTAACTCATCAAAAGCTTTTTCTGCAACATAAAAAGAAGTCAAACAATTACTGCAGACAAGTCTAAAATGTTGCTTTTTTGAAGAGAACTACTGAAGCAGACCATACTAATGACGAAGAATGACAGAACGATGAATCAATTTAAAAAACCAACTTGTCGCTCATAAATAGTGCCTCTTAGAATTGCTCACTTCTTAAATTAAAGCATAAAATTTAAGTACCATAATTATAATTCGATGTCAACATGCTCTTCGAAATAAAATATGACCAAATAGACTGTTTTTTGTAATCCGTAAACAGTGAAAAATTGTTTTAATGTTTCTCTCGTTCTGAAATCGTCAAGAAATTTTATCATTTCAAGCGCCAAACTGTTAAAGACACTGTTATATCCCATACTGTTTTCTACTGCTGCACCAATCTCCACTTCACCTATTTCATGTTTCTAACCATTCAAAACCCTCATAATTACTCATCCTTACTTCAAGCGCCCCCCTCTACTGCTGTGGTTTTTGAAAGATCACCTCGACAACGGTTAACAAAAATATAAATAAAATGATACTGGGGAAGTTAAATTGTGCGTCATTACTAGCAGTCTTTACCGCAAAAAAGACCTTCGGACACCGGTAGCACCTACAGCACTAAAAATTTACTGCCACTGTCTGAAATGAGATACCGCACAAATGAAGACTTAAAAAAAATTTATCCGTTTTTTAGTTAGAGACGTTGCAAGCACACTTAGGTCTGAAAACCCCAACAATTAAGGAAGAACTGTGGCGCCTGCTGCGCAGTAATACTTTTGGCTGCTAGCCAATCCGACAACTACTCCTTTTGGTAAAACGATCTTTTACTGTCCGCTTATCACTTGTATATATATATTGAGCAAATATATTGTCTTTTTCATACTCATCAATGTACGGCACTGTAGGCGAACGTTGAAAAGTAGCATTACATTTCTTATTAATTTTTAAAATCTGTATGGTCAAGACTCCATCAAACTAAGCAACAAATTACAGTAGAAATGCCGTTTACAATTTCGCCGTCGAGAGAGGCAAAGAGAACAAATGGGAATAAATATTTACAGGCAAATAGTTAAAAATTGAATAACTTCTCATAACATGAGTCAGAATGTGTTCTCTAAAAATGACACTTGCTGGCTGAAAGGAACTGTAAAGCTACGTTAGAATTAAAAATAAGAAATAGACTCTTGCAAACAACAGGTCTTACGAAAGTAATCTAGCTTCTGAACAATATTAAAATTACGTTGTTCTGACATTAAAACCTCACCTAATGTACTTCAGAAATACCCGAAAAGAAGAGATTTAAAAAGTCATTATTTACAATAATCGAGAACAAAAAACAAATCATTGATTATTGAAATTACAACCTTTGCGAAACGCCAACAAGACCTTCATTCTTGCACGACGGACAGTCTGGTAAGCAGGGCTCGTGATATGTTATATAGTCAGCATCTGCAAGCCTACACTGGCAGGGGCAGTCACTCGCCGCACACTCATCATGAGCACGAAACCACTGAATCATATGTACCATATGACCACCATGTCTACACTTCTGAAATCAATTTGTAAGGTGTAGAAACTTTTAAAAATTTTTTAAAAATCTTACCTGACACCAAGTAAACCAAAACGACAGTGACTTTAACTGAGAACATTCCAAAATCGTTTCAGTTCCCATTCTACGCCTGCATATAATACATCTCGGTAATGGTTTCCCGCACTGACGACAAGCTTGTTCTCGCACCTCTCCACAAGTGCTCCCGCTCGAGAGATTGCTACAAATAAATGCCCAAATACTCTTGAGAAATAAAAATTTTAAACCGGAAAAATAAAACGCCTTTGTAATATAAACAGAAATATGCGAAAAAAGTCTCAGAAAAGGCCAAAATCAGTCGGACTTAAAAAGCCAATCAAAGCACGAAAATTTTAAAATGAAGCGGGTTACAAATAGCAGAATTCGGTAATTTCATGAGGAAACTGGTTGATGGGTGTTATGATTATTTCATCAAAAGAAAAACAAAACGAACGACTGCCTCGTCGAACGTGACGATACAAAAACATCTGAAACAGTAAGCTCTGGACTGCTCACACTTGTTGGACCAATTGGGCAAGGGCAAAATTGACAGCACAACTCAGCCTACAAAACAAAACAATAAACAGTAAATGAGTGTACTGAAGAAACTATAGTCGAAGAAATGTGCAATCAGGAACACTAAAGAATGCATAAAGAAATGAAAAGCAAACCAACAACCCTCAAAAATAAACTATATCCTTCAGAACTTAGAAGTCAGATTATACCGTTGAGGTGCCTCTATCCTTATCCGGCGTCTTTGCAGTTTCAACAGAGTACCACTGGAGAAAGACATTCAACCTTGCTCGTTTTTTCCACAAGCCCCAAATGTTCAACATATCCAAATAATCTTCCACAATATGCAGTCCAGCCCATTCCTCATCCTTTCTAAGAAAGAAAAATCATAAAAAAACTGAAAATCTCTTTTTTCAAATTTTTTAATGAAGAACTAAAAAAGCTGAGAGAGAAAACTGAGACACCAAAAACTTGCAGTGCCTCTCGATGGGCTGCATCATATTGCTCGGAGTATGAGTGCGCAGGAAAAAATTTAGCCTCGTTAAATGCCAAAGTTCCTGACGGAGAGACAGGTGTATTAGGAGATGATGTCTGCTCGTAGCAGTGGCCAACAATGTACAATAGTGTAGCGGTTTGAACATCACCTGTCTCATCGACAAATCTAAAAATATCAAGTCGGTTTCAGAAAGAAAAACGAACGCATAGTGATGTCGTACAAACAGGATAAAGCAACTATTTTTTTTAAATACGATAGCGAAAAAAAAGTAAAAAGTTTAAAGATGTGGAGAGCAATTTCGCTTCCATTCACAACATTGTTCAACAAGATTACTCCTTAATCAGATTTACCCGGTAATTCTCAATAGAGTTTTCAATGACTTCAACGTAAAACTTTTACATCCTCGTTAATTAAAAACTGTGTAAACGACGAGTGAATGGCAGAAAACCAAAAACCAAATTCAATGCAGACTGAAGAAGGAACCTTCGAAGGAGTCGAAATGAACTGAGGTCCCTTGAAAGACCGCAAATAAACAAGCCTTGTAAACTGCTACGTAAACTGCTTTCAGTAAGGGCGGCGTTTAACGACTCAATAAACATTGCGTCGTTAAAATAAAGGCATGCAAAACCAACGCGATCTTCCACTGATATACCCTAAAAAGTAAAGTACTATGATAAATAAAGTTTACGTGCATTCATAAATTTTCAGCACGAACCCTTAAACTCATTCTCTTCTTGATTTCACCACAAAAATTAGCTTTAAAATGTACGGTACCTACTGCCTCACTTTTCTTTTCCAATCAGTTCCTATATTTTCTCAAAGCCTACAATAGACTCATGATTTGAAAAAGTAGCATTGTTTCAAACACTCTTCTACATAAAGTGCAAAAAGTCAACTTTTCACTGAATTTATAGCTAATTTATAGCATGTAGAATGCAAAAAGACCGCTTTTTTACAATCCTAGAAATAAGAATGTGTCAATGTCTGCTTAAAAAGTAAACTAACGTCAATTTTGAGTATTGAAATATTTGACGTCATAGCGTTGCATAAACTATCCAAAAATGCAATGACCATTTTCAAATATGGGTCCCGAATAACGTCCTTAACTCTCTGAGAAATAGGTAACCTAAAGAAAGAAAAAATTTCTAATCATTCAGGTGTAACTACCAGTAAAAAAGGCAGAAACTATTGATTTTAAGGCAGTTACAATAACTGAAATGAAAAGAAGCATCCATAAAAACTGACCATGAATCTGGTAGACCATTATACCGGTGTATCGCATCCACAAACCTCTCAAGTTCAAATCTGCGAACATCGTTTTCTCCCTTGCATTTCATAAGTAGTTTTTTCATGTTCTTAAAAATCACCCGTAATATCATGTTCTAAAAACCTTCAAAAGAGAAAAAAAAAGTTGTCACTTCTTTAGCCCAGTCCACTTTGACGAAGAACATGGCAAGTGCAATAGCCCGCGTAGACATATTTCTGAAATAACGATAAATTAACCTTTGCTGTGCCTCGTAAACAGCGAAATACCTTTGAAAACGAGTAGAATTCATTTACACTAAAATATTTCAACCCCAAGATAAATAAACCTTCCTAATAAGAAAACTCACTGTTTTGAGTCTACAGAGCCCAAAAATTCACGAATTCTAACGTCGCTTTCATCAAAGTTTGGCCAACCGCAAAGGCGAAGAATTTGACTTCGAGATCCCCCTTTATGGATCTAAAGACATATCAAAGAAACATTTAAATGAAGTTTTAAAACTAAAATGTATCCTTTGAGATCTTTACTCGAACTCTCCCGTAAAAATCGTCCTGAATGATATGACGAATTGTTCCAAACGATGAACTATCTTGATTGAAACTTGGCCTCATCATACGAATCACACCAGGAAAGCTGAAAAAGCTGGCGGTGAAAATAATCTCTAAAGTAGTCCCAATCAAGCACAAAAGTTTGTTCTGAATGACGGAAGTGAATCATTAAAAAATTTTTTCAACAGACACTTACAAACAACCGTAAAGATCAGATTTTGACGATTCGCTGTTAATCATTTTAGAAAGCCACCTCCAAACCCATTTTACATCGTCCGATGTAAAAGGTGATTTATCAGCAACAGCCTTGCACGCATCAACATACCCTACAGAGTGAAAAGAAAAATATATTCCAGAAATTTCGACAAAAAGAAACTGAAATAAGAGTCCGACTCAGTCCCTCTTTAAAAGTCAACCCTAGCAATGTCGTTAATCTCACTACAACATTTACACATTGAGCAGTAACAATAAACTGTCCCTACCTTCAATCGTCTGTGTTAGTGGTGTCCCATAATTGGCTAACGCACGAGATCGCATAACATTCGAAATGTCATCGTCGCACACTTCTCCCAAATTGTAAACGCAGAGTTCGTTGTCACAAGCGAATGCCAAACTGCCGCAGCAAGAAAAGACTCCCGTCAAAAAATTTTTTATCTAAAAATGCATACAAGCCTTAATCTCCATTTTATAGACGAAAAAAATCATAATAATTCTCAATTTGAAACGCAAAGTAAAAATCAGTGATTGGAGGTATATAAAAACTGTTTGGCTGTCCTTTAAGCCCACAAAACTGTAATGAGCCAACTACACCCTGAATTCAGAAAATCTACAAGAAATTTTTATTGAATAATTGCTACAAGGAGATTAAGTCTTAATAGAGAACGATAATTATAAGACTTTGGAACTAAAAAAATACAATAAAGCTGAAATATGGATGACACTAATGTAAAAATTAATTCGCCTATAACAACGATCAACAACCTATTTCGTACATGAACAACAATAAAAACCCCTAAACCTACCTCACTTTTAAGAAACAAATCAGTGGTAAAAATATCTTTGAAGTTTTAAACATACCCTAAGAATTCTTATATCAGAGCAGTCGTCAGTTTCATCAGATGAACACAGAACCATTAAACTTGGTGATTCAGGATTATAGGCAAAATCTGATATCCTGGAGAAATCATTCAACTGAAATTTCATAACATCAGTGACCAGTACGTGTTACTCTTTACTAAACCACTGGAAGAAAAAAAGCACATTCAATAAAACATACTCATGAATTTCCACAAGACAGAATACTTAACCTGTCGAAAATATTCATAATGAAGCTCTGAAACATCAAACGAATCGAGGCTGAACCTCTCTTCCAATAAATTTTTTCCTTGTTTGCCATTAGCGATGCACCCTTCAGTGCTCGTCTGAGCAGCAAAAACCTTTATGATTGAAGATGGTGACTGAATATTTCTCTTTTCAGGTGAAAAGAAATAATTTGGATGAAAAAGCCAAATAATAGAGTCAAAAAAATTTTTACAAAATACCGTCTCTAAAGAAAAATCCTGTAAAAACAAAAAAATAATCAGAAAGAATAAAGACAAATTTTGTGCAGAAAACCACAGAAATCACGACTTAAAAGTAAACAGGAACTAGAAAAAGATATAGGTTTAGAACCAACTTCTGATTTTGAGCCTTCGCGACGCTCCCTTCTTGTCATCTGTTCCCCAACTGGATAAAGTACTTCAGTGAGTGAATCAGCACCACGCCACGAATAAGTCATGAAGAATGGACTCCGGAAACAACACTTGAGAACAATGTCGTCAGCAGCACTATTCAGCTAAAAATTAATATGATTTCCTACATATATATACCTGCTATGAATAATTCAAAAACAAAAAGCCTTTTGAAATCAATTTCCGTTACAGGTTTGAAGAGTTGAAAATTGTAAACGGGATGGTCAAGTCCTCTACGGTCATATATGTTTATTGTATCACCAACAACAGCAGCAAACTGTGTCTTCTTCCAGAAATCTGTTCGCAACGCACAAACTGTTCCTTCAACTTCAGTTGACGCAATAGCTTTTGGGCCTTCCCGAATATCAAAAAATTTTATACTTTTACCTCCACCAGCAACGAAAATACACCAGTCATCTCTAAAATGAAATTTATAAATATTTTGTCTAGAAAAACGCTTAAAACATATTAAGCTGAGATAAAACCGATGTCATAAGTCTCCTGTACACAATTTTCCAATAACAAGCGCAAACTGATCCCCAATAAATTAATCGTTTAAGCCTTTAGAACAGAAGAAATGTCGACAAGTTGATAACTAAGGGAGCAGCTGAAATAACGAAGAACACAGAACTTTTTGAAAAAGACAAGTACTCACTGAAACCAAGTAGCACAAGACAGTTGTTCGTCTGCGTTTACCACTAGAGTATGAAGTCTTGGCCGATTTGCTTCGTATACACATACCAGACTGCTTTGAGTAACTGTCCTAAATTCAATTTTCTGCTTAATAATATGAGGAACACTTGGCAATAAGAACTATTTATAGCAACAATTATATTAGCTTAAAAAATTAATAGTAGTGGTAAAAAAACCTTTCCAAACATGCTACCAGATGAATCCTGGAAGACGGATTGAACTCTAGGCATAACGGTGGAGCAGAGGTATCTGACGTCAGATCAACCACATTTTGGAATGTTCTGCAGAAAATGTCAAACACTATATGCAAAACAAACGAAAGCTACGTATTTCTTTGTTCTTCCTAAATAACTTACGGTAAAATTAAAACTCAACAGGTGTTACTAATTCCTCTAGCTTTTTTGCGCCAAAGGTAAACAAATGCACTCAATAAAAATCTAAAGTACTATTTTAATTGAAAATAAAAATCCTTACTTAATGTTTTCATCAATACCAGTTTTTGTTATTACTATTCTTCCGCTTGAGTACCCCAATGCCAAGAAGTCGTCAACAGCCGTGCAAACGTCACAACATCTCAGTGTATCCTATGAGCAGACAATTACTAAATAAATCATGAAAAGAAGTCAGTTGATTATGAGAGGGTGTGTGACTAAGCTACAATTACTGCAGAATGAATAAACCGGTAAGTCAGCTCCAACAGTCAAAATGCAAACATTGACCGTCGAGTCACTATTCAAGAGCACTAAACAGAAACATACCTCTTCAGGAAATTGATTAAAATGGGCTGGCAACGAAGTAACTAAAGTTGGTTCCACGTCATCGATTGAATATAAACGGAACGATTTCTCAGACAGCGTTACAAATCGACGTGGTTGTTTCCGTAGCCAGTAAACATTACGCTTCATCGAAGTCTGACGCCACAATAGGCCCTAAAATGCATCTCCTTATTGCTGTCGGCGGAATAAAAATGCTGATTCAAAACAATATCGAAGTCACAAAATCACAAAGAGTACATATAACTGCGAAAAGCCAATAGACTTAAACCTGGAAGCCACTGGCCATCACAGAACCTTTCAGCAGTGCTAACTTGGCAAACTGTATTATATTGCAGAATTTATATATTGCTTACGGAACTGTAAGAGCCTAAACTCAAGACGAACTACAGACCATCAGACGATTTATAGGCTATAAGATACCCTATGTAAACATATGACATCTGACTAAGCAACAATGCCGGATTTAATTCGCGGCTGTGCGACAAAAGAAGATGAGAATTCCAATAAAATGCTATAAAAACAACAAATACGTGCTTCCGAAATACAGAAACTTCCTAACACAAAACTCCTTGACTTTGCATCATTGCTGCGTCGAATAATCTTTCCAGTGGAGAATTTCCTGAACGAAATATAAAATTGGTTTCATTAAGCCTCAGATGAAAGGATTAAGTAAAACAGTCTCTTGGTACTGATATCCAGAAACTATCAAGAAGCAAGCATTGCTTAATAGACATTACTGAAGTAGTTTAATACAGGGAAACAAATTTGCAAAGCATTCAAAGCTTAAGGTGCTGGCTGCAGCATTTGAAAACAATGTCCAACAACTGTAACAAACAGAGTCCCCGCTTAAGCACTAGTCTCTCACTTGTTAATCTTCTGAAAACTTACAGGATTTTGATGGTGATAATCAAGAAAATTAACTACAACAGATACGGTACGATAAGAACTAATAGAAACAGTGGTTAACGCAATGAAAATTATTTTACCACCACATTCCGACTTTGTATAAAACAAAAAAAATTGTGACTGCAGGATCAAAGACCATTGTTGTCATTTCAGTGGTAGCCTTCACCTTTTGAGCAGAAAACTAAACTGTTTTTGTTCAGTAGTCATATATTTTTTTAAGCAGATAGCTTTCAACAACTAAAATATTTTTAACCTATGGAATAGAAGAAAATCTTGGAATTTTATTCAGTCAATATCGCAAATAATCAAGTTTTTTTGCAATTAGGTTAAACCTCAATAGAACCAATAAAGCACATAGGTTGTTTGATAACCCTCGGAACCGCTGCGTATCGCCTCGATGTATAACCAGAATTTTGTTCACTTAGCAACCCATTTTCAGAGATCATCGAGACCTCAATTCGGCATTGGGTGCAGAAAAATTTATCAAGAGGCGGTGATATCAATACGGTGTTCGTTTCGACGGTAAAGGTGCGAATATTTTAAAATTAGGTTTTGAAACAACGAAACAGCAGGCTAAAATCCCAATTTATAATTATTTACAACATTATCTACTGCAAAATTATCTACTATCTAAGAGTAGTAATCTAAAGAAATGAATGTCCTTCTCTACAATGTACCACCCGCTTCTGGTCAACTAGGTAAGTCCAGTCTAGGAAAATCACATCAGTTCCGTTGCTGTTTATCTAGCCCATTTGTAACTTCGCCAATACTCTGTTCACGTTTATTTTTGCTTACGAAAATATTTGTAACTGCTCCAGATGCATACAGTGACTTCTTCTTACGATCAGAAATTGAGGTCTAAAAAACCGTTGCCATCTGTTTGTTTTTCATCGGTTTTTCACACGTAAACCCTGGAATCTGTTTTACTTTTCGCTCCTTGAAATTTTTAAAAGCTAAATTGATTCTTAGTTCGAAAGCTGGTGTCTTTGTTCAATTATTAACAGTAATAACAGTATTAACAGTAATTAACACTATTAACAGAAGCATTAAAACAATAATTTTTTTTTACTGAATATCAAAGAGACAAAGCAGTTATATTGTATAAATAATTATTCATATATTGTTGACTGCAAAGATTGAAAACATTTATATGTAGACCATTAAAAAACCTTGGATAGCCAATTAAAATTACGATAAAGTGCTGTCAGGAATAATGATACCGAAATAAAAACGAGGAAAATAAACTGGTAATATGAAAAAAAGGCGGAAAATTATTGTTACAATGTCATGAAAACCTCTAGTCTTCAACACTTTACTTCTTTTTGTAAAAAGTAATAAATATAAGCTGAGTCGGAGAAAGGAATATATAAAAAAATTCTAAATGATAAATTTGGAAGCTTAAAAAAGGATTTTCTTTTTCAAGTTCAGTGTATTGCGAGATGCTAGTAATTAACCTGAACATTTCAACAGCATCATTCCTTCCTCAATTTCGACTTTTAAAACCCATTGCTTTCAAGATTGTCCCGTTTGCGCATTTTTTGGTAGCTTCTACTGACTTCAAGGTTTCATTAGAAAACTTTTTTGTAGAAGCCACCGTTATTAAGTCGATATTTCTGGGCTATAGGCGTACCGCTGTTTCAAGCCAAAATTTCTGCGACTGGCGACAATACTGAACACTAATTTAACAACTGTTTTATGACGTTTTTCATCATTTGCATTCCATTGGCTTTTAAGCGTTCTCTTTAGCATTTATTTTATCAGAAAAAGAAAGCTTTCTACTTTTATCATTGTTTTGAATAAATTTTTTATTCATTCTAAAGTGTTATATTTACTATTACTTGAAAAATCATGCAAACTGTAGTATTTCAGTTGACAAAACATTTTTCTGCACACTTAACAATAACATTGCTATAAACTTGAACAAGAAATGATAACGAAATTGCCATGCTGAAGTTTTCATACTTTTATTCTCACTTTACTTTTGAGCATTAATGTCAGAGTAGAAATAAAAACTTCTTGTTTGTGATAGACAGACAGTGTCAAGAAGCAGACAAACTGCATAGGATCCAAATTGAAAATGCAAGGAAGTGTTTAATTTATCAATTTCCGATTATACCTTCCAACTTTCAACTGTACTTTGCACTTAATTTTACTCAAAAAAATCCTCTAAAGTTCTTCCGTTAGTCATAAATTTTTTTATATTTTTGTAATTAACCCAGAAATTATGCCAAAAATTTAGTATATTTTAATTAGTGAGCTAAGTGTTCGCTGTCATCTCAGCGGAAAAAAAAAAACTTTTTTTCACTCCCAATTGTTACTCAAAATTTCTAGAAGTAAGTAAGTTGTTTCTTGCATTTTGCAAAAAACTGAATTACTTCACTGTTAAACAGTTTTTACAGGTAACTATATGATTTATTTACTTCGGTTTCTGGCAATTTTCTCGTGTGGTATTATAGTCAAGCAAACAGCAGTCAGTTCTAACTTATCACGAACAGCTACGTGAATAAACTATTTTCTTTTGTTCTCGAGAGGCTCTAAAACAAAATGCTAATTAGGACTTACATTAAATAGGCTTGAAGAGCATTTGGTGTTAAGAATTCTCAGTAAATGACATACTGTTCAAAGAAGCATTTTACATTCCGAAAGAAACAATTTTGAAAATGTTAATCAGCAGTAAATGTCATGAATAGTTTGCCACATAACCGTAACCAAACAGCAAAAAAACGCATGCTTTTCATTTCAGCAATTTTATACAGATACAGTTCGCTCGTTATGGTTACAGATATGTATTATTAGAGCAAAAAAAGTGGGGTCAACAAGAAAACAAAATAAACGATCTTGAAAGCTACATTCACAGTCAAAATTTACTGTAAAAAAATTTACACGGTAATTTTCAAAAGATATAAAAAAGCACTTAGGTACTTAGCAGTTTAATAATAGCCTATTCACTGCATTGATTTAAGGTTTACTGTGTGAGAAAAAAACATTTTCATGTTTTTTTCTCACAATTGTAATTTTAAAGTGTCAATTTTTAGAAAACCAAAAGCTACACGACAAGTCATGCTGCTAAAGTTTTTATTTAAATATTCATCTATCTCTTTGCTTACAGAAATTAAATTGCACTTTCTTTTCTGCAATCGTTCGGCAACCTGTAGTAATGTGGGAATAAACTGTATTTGTTGAGCTAGCCAAATATTTGTATTTCGGAACAACGTAAGCTTCTCATTAACAGGAAAATGGAGAGCAGTGATACCATAAAGACTTAGCTGTTATTGAATTCATGTTCAGCATATTCTGAGCCGCTGGTGAGGTAGAATGAACTATTTAGACTAAAAGAAGATTAAACCTTTATCCAAATTTACTAATTTTTATTGCTTTCAACGAGTAAGTAACGTTAAGCGTACTCTTTTCTCCAATTGTTTTTTTTTCTTTTTTTGTTTCTGCACACTAAACTGAAACAGATAGGACAGAACAATACTTCTGGGAATTTAGGAACGCCATCATTGGGATACTGGTAAGTGACATTTTAAAATAGCAGCTTGTCAAAAAGGTCTCTAACTGTTTGAAAAAAAAAAACATAAATAAAATAATTTCATTTTATTAGAAATCATATCTGCCATTATCTGTACATCCATGTGAAACAAAGTTTAGGCAAAGAATAATAGTAATAATAAAGAAGATGAAACATAACAAAACAAAAAAAATAAAAATAAACCATCAAAAAAAAAAAACAGTAATATTTTTTTCTTTCACAAATAATCACATTCCTGTAAAACAATAATAGGTAAAAAAATAAAATAATAATATAATAAACATCGAAACACGCAAGTGAACGACCAGGACAAATCCTGAAAAATTCTCCCAAAACTGTTGAAAGACAGTTCATCGTAAAGTTTACGATTTCAAATCTATCCTGATGAAATAGGGAACAGACAACCGAAAAAAAACACCAAAAGAACGACTGAAAATACTAAAGAAACCATAGTGATCGTTGAAATGAATTACGCTCTACAACCACCGGTCGTCATTCGTTGTCGTCCCCATTCCACTTTCTTTTGACACTTGGTCAACAGTTTTGGTATATACAGTACTGAGATGGATCATTTTGGCTGAGGAATTAACAAAAAAAATTAACTTTTCAAAACTTAAAACAAACGAAGATCAACAACCGAAGAAACTGTCCAGTAATGGTGAAGAGAAAAGTGGTGATTAAAACCTTTAAGTTGAAAATCACTAATCCATATATAGGTAAAATATATATATATATATATATATATATATATAGTGAATTTTTGCTCCCTTTTTTAGCTTGTCTGCTAAATCATCAACGAATTGAAAAATACAGAAAAAGAATGAATATAGAAATAAGAAAATAAAA